CTTTCCCTCTTTGTCAAATGCAAGGGATGTGCTCAACACAAATACACAAACATCATCTTCCCAAACATGTGTGTCTTCCCACATTTCCTGAATGCTCCCGTTTGTCAGCACTTTTCTGAAAGACCCATTTATGGCAAAAAGTGAAACCTCTGCATTTTCATGGTTACCTAAAAATCTCTAGTGATGCATTTTATGCCCCTATACCTTCATATTTACATAGATGTATTCAACCAAACCCAACTCTGAATCAAGAAGGTGCTGTACTGTTAAAATGATGGCCTGTGACTAGTGTACTGCTGAAGTAGAAACATAGTATGAACTGTTGTTTCTAGGCACAGTCAGCATTGGTGTTTGGGAAGTTGTCAGCTGTATACCATTAAGCAACGATTCTCAAACTGAAGGTGAAAAAGAATGTAAGAACTTGCATCAGCTTTTATAAGTCAAATAGGAATTATGTTTTTAATACTGTCATTTACACAGTTGTCTCTCTAATATTTATAATATGTATAGCTTCCATCCTCCCTATACACACTTAAGTGAAAGGTACACTATCTGCATGAAACTAAAATAAACTCAGTACTACTATTTACAAAGGTTTAAGGTTTACCTCAAAAATCACAGATGTTGTACTGTTTCCATGCACTAAAAAAAAAAAAGCTCTGTTTTCAGATACTGTGACAGACTGGCAAAAATATAGCTTTTACATTTGTATTTTTAATTTTTAAAAGCCCTATATCAAAAAGGAAACAAAGAATTATAAATCCAGAAACTCTCCACAGGACCACAACAAATATACATACTGTTGATAAGACGATAACCAGGTACTCCTGCCCTTGGAACTCTTCTACTGTGCCAACTTTAATGTCTGCCAAATCAATACTTCTCAGAAGAAATCTAATTTTTTCCACCTACCAAAAAGAATATTACATTTGAGAGAGGATTACTTCACAACTGAAAGCACAGTACCTATACAAGTATGTGATTTAACACAGAGATGTCACACGGAATGCCTACACCAATCTTAGCCATCGCTCGTTATTAAGCGCAGGATCAGTTTATTACCATCTGCTAAAAGCTGCTTGGAAACTATAGCTTAAGTGCTCCAAGAAATTTACCAAGAAACCATGCCTGGCTAAACTGAGGATTATAGTCAATGACTAT